AGAAAAGATGCATTATATGATCTCAATCTTTTTTTCTAGTTAAGGCCTGATTTGTGACTCTGTATGTGATCTATTTTAGAGAATGTTCCATGTGCACTGGAAAAAAATGTGCATTCTGTTGCTTTAGGATGAAATGTTCTGAATATGTCTATTAAGTCCATCTGGTCCAGTGTGTCATTCAAAGCCGTTGTTTGCTTGTTGATTTTCTGCTTAGATGATCTATCCATTACTGCAAGTGGGGTGTTAAAGTCCCCTACTATTACTGTATTATTATCTGTGAGTTTCTTTATGTTTGTTATTAATTGATTTATATATTTGGGTGCTCCCAAGTTGAGAGCTGTAAATAGTTACAGTTGTTAGATCTTCTTGTTTGATAGACCCCTTTATTATGATATAGTGCCCTTCTTCATCTCTTGTTACAGTCTTTGGTTTAAAAATCTAGTTTGTCTGATATAATTATGGCTACTCTGACTTTCTTTTGATGTCCATTAGTGTGATAGTTCTCCATCCCCTCACTTTCAATTTGGAGGGGTCTTTAGCTCTAAAATGAGTCTCTTGTAGGCAGCATGCAGATGGATTTTTTTTTTTAACCCATTCTGATATGCTGTGTCTTTTGATGGGAGCATTTATTACATTTACATTCAGAGTAATTATTGATAGATATGCATTTAGTGCCATTATATTGCCTGTAAAGTCATTGTTTCTGGAGATTTTCTCTGTTCCTTTCTGGCCTTTGTTGCTTTCGGTTTTTCTTTCCCTCTGAAAGAATTCCCTTCAATATTTCTTGCAGGGCTGGTTTTGTGTTCACGAGCTCCTTTAGTTTTTGCTTGTCTGGGAAACTCTGTCTCTCCTTTAATTCTGAATGACAGCCTTGCTGGATAAAATATTCTTTGCTGCAGATTTTTCCCATTCAGCAAACTGAATATATCATGCCACTTTTTTCTGGCTTGCCAGGTTTCTCTGGAGTGATCTGCTGCTCACCTGCTTTGTCTTCCCTTGTAGATTAGGGATTTCTTTTCCCTTGCTGCTTTCAGGATTCTTTCCTTATCTATGTATTTTGCAATTTTGCTACGATATATCTTGGTGTTGGCAGGCTTTTGTTGATTTTGGTTGGAGTTGTTTATGCCTCCTTGATTTGGATGTCTGTTTCTTTCCCCAGATAGGGTAGTTTTCAGCTATAATTTGCTCAAATAAACCTTCTGCCCCTTTTTCCTTCTCTTGTTCTTCTGAGGCTCCTATGATGTATGTTATTATGCTTTATGGAGCCACTGAGTTCCCTAAGTCTGTATTTGTGAGCCAATATTTTTCTTTACCTCTTCTTTTCAGGTTCATTATTTTCCATAATTCTATCTTCTATATCACTTATTCATTCTTCTGCTTCTTCCATCCTTGTGTTCATTACATACAGTCTGTTGCATCTTGGTTATAGCATTTTTTATTTCAGCCTGACTAGTTTTTAGGTCTTTTATCTTTGTGGTAAGGGTCTCTCTGGTTTCTTCTGTGCTTTTTCCTCAAGTCCAGCTAGTATCCTTATGATTGTTGTTTTAAATTCTGGTTCAGGCATATTGCTTATATCTGTTTTGATTAGCTCCCTGCCCATGACCTCTTCTTGTTCTTTCTTTTGGGATGAATTCCTCCATCTTGGCATTTTGTCTATGTCTGTCTTTTGTGTGTTAGGAAAGCTGTTCCTGGTCCTAATTTCACTAGAGCTGAAGCTTTGCAGCGCTCTATGATCAGTAGACCTGGTGCATGCAAGGGTTTGTGCTGGTCTTCTGGGGGAGGGCCCTGCTGCTGCTCTGGCTCTCTATCACACTTGCCTTATTAAAAAGGCACTTGCAGAGCACAGGGGCAGGGTGTGGTGTAAGCTGCTCAAGCCTCCACTGTGTGTACTGTGCCTCTTGCTAAATAGGAGGGGTGAAAATGGTGTCAGCCTGCTCTTGTTCATGGACAGAGGAGTTCACACCCATCACTGTTCAGGAAGCCCTCACAGAAGAACAAACAATCTCCCCTCTGGTGTCCCTGGCTTCCGTGAGATTCCTGCCTTCACCCTGTCTGTGTCCAAGCCATCTGCCCACCGGTGGCCTAGTGCTCTTGTGTTTTATCACAGGCTTGTGGCTGGGTTTTAAAACTCCAAATTTTCGGGACCTGGCACTGATCCTCTGGGGGAGGGTCTTACCGAGCTGTGGCTAGTACCAGTTTGTCCCAGAAAAGCAGTTGCATGATAGTGCAGGAGTTTGGAGTTTATGGTAAAGTGTGGCAAAAAGCCCACATCCAGATGAGCTGCCCTCAGCAGACATCTCTGCTCATATGGTAATGAACAGGGCAGCTCAATATCACCTGCGGCTGTTTTGTCTCCTGATAGACAGTGCCACCTCTCCCAAATGCACTCTAAGAAGGGGAACTCTTTTCCATCATGACCCAGGGGATCCTCAGAGCATGCCATCAGCTCCGGGGCCTCTGCCCTCCTTCTCTACAAGAGCACTGCTATGCCCCCCAGGTTTATCCTGGCAGTGGTGTGGACTTCTAAGACTTCAGAAACTGCACTGTTTATAAAAACTTGGGATAATCAGCCCCTCTTATTTTTGCACTCAGTGTTTTTGAGGAAGTGTTTTTGTGTAATCCCCTGTGTGCTTTCTCTCAGCCTCTCTCTTTTTTTCTCTCTCTCATCTCTCCATGATCAGGGCTCCCTCCTCTCTGCAGCAACCACAATTCTTTTCTTCCCCAAATCACATCACCACACCTCCTACCTTCCATGATGTGGCCTCTTTTCTCCTTCTAGTTGTGCAGTCTGTTCTTTCAGTCCTCAGATCAATTTCCTGGGTGTTCAGAATGATTTGATAATTATCTAGCTGTGTTCAAGGGATGAGGGAAACATAACGTCTTCCTACAACTCCACGATTTTAACTCCTCTTGCCATTTTTGACTCTTAAAGGCATCTGCCAAACATTTTTTCTCTCTATGGATGCTATTGAATAGGTAAAGCATGCAATTGCACCAAAATTCAAAAACTATAAGACATTCAGTGAGGAGTATGTTCCTCTCCAGTCACTCAGATCTCCTCCCCATCCCCAAAGCTAACAATTCTTACCAGTTGTTTTGTCCTTGGAGAGAGATTCTGTGTAAAAACATGTATGTATTTAGGGGCACCTAGGTGACTCAGTCAGTTAAGCGTCTGACTCTTGATTTTGGCTCAGGTCCATCTCAGGGTCATGGGATCGAGCCCTACATCAGGCTCCACACTTAAGATTCTCTCTTTCTCCCTCTCCCCTTGCCCTTCCCCCTGCTTGTGTGCACATGCTCTCTTTCTCTCTCTCAAAATAAATAAATCTTTTTTCAATAACCCCAAAAACAAAACAAAAAAGACTCAAATATATATTTATGTATATTCAAATGCTTTTCCATTTTTGTTCAAATGCTACTGCTATATACAATGCTTTGTGCCTCTCCTTTTTCACTTAACATACTTTGGAGATAATTCTTTATCTAAACATATATAGCTGCTTTGTTCTAATTTCTGCATAGTATACCACTATAAAATCTACTCCAAACATTTGAACTTCATTCTATGAGTGGACACTTAAAATTTTTTATTTACTCTTATGACCACTCAGCAATAAATGTTCTTATAAGTATGACTTTATGCTCATGTTTGACTATAACTCTAAGATAAATCAGGAAATGAGTGATTAGAAGGTTAGTTTCTTCTTGGATCTCCTGATTCCTCAAATGCTACCTTTCAGAGAAATTGTCCCTAACCACTCAATCTACCATAGCCCCTGCTGTTACCTTCACATTATCTTTTTTATATACTTTTTTATCATAGAATTTTTAAACATATAAAAAGTAGAAAGAGCAATAATATAATGAAAGTTCATGTACCTTGTTTTTATCAATTATCAGTATTTTCCAATCTTGTTTTAGCTCTCTCTCACTCCCATACGTATTTTTTCTTAAGTACCTTAAAGCAAATTCCAGATATGCCATTTTACCTATGAACAGTTCAGTATGTATCTCTAACATATAAGACCTGTTTATTAAAAAAAAAAAAAGCATTACCACTTTGTCATTGTTATAGCTAACTTAACACCATTTTCTTGATCTCCTCTAGTACCTATCCCATATTTTCCTGTGTGACTCAAAAATGCACTTTACAGTTTTTGCTTGACTCACAGTCAGAACAAAATCTTCACATTTGCTTTTAATTTGTAAGTTACCTTATCTGGTTTTCATATTTTTTCCCCAGAAGAAATAATATATAATGATGTGTGGGATTTTCTAAATTCTTAATTTGGTTGACTCTTTCCTCCTTGTGTCATTTTTTAATATATTTCTCTGATTTTTGTATTTCCTGTAAACTGATAGTGTAATGTATAGTAATTGTTGGTTAGTTTCAGGTTCAGTTTTCTTGGCAAGAATATTTCATAGATTGTGCAGTGTACGTCCTCTTGTATCACAATGAGATCCACATGATTTCCACTTATCTTTCTTTTAGCAATGTTGAGAGACAGATGGAACTCATGCATGTTTAGAGAGAGATCAGTGTGTTTTGGTATTCTCAGCTTTATTTGACTATTATAAAGTCAGCCATTGACATTTCACCTAGTGAACATTTCCTGGATTGGTAGCAAAATGATTCTGTCATTCCTTATGTAATTAATTGTTGATAGAAAGTGGTGGCAATTTGCAGTTTTTATGGATGTGCTAATGTTCCCTATATAATTTTTAAATTAGTTGTGAGAACTTACTAGTCCTAGATTTAGATAATTTTTTTAGAAAAACTGGATTAGAAATTGCCCATGTTCTTTAAATAATATTCCAAAGAGAAAAACTTTTGAAGTCTATTACTAATCAAAATTATTACAAATGTATTTGAAGTAACTGTGATCTTTCTCATAAAATTTGTATTTCCATGTGTAGGTATTACTTTGAGACACCAAGAAAGTTTCTAAACTTTTAGAATATATTTTATAAAATCTGTTTTTATTGTTCCGTTTATATAGGTTATTAAGTGTGGTATGCTGTGATCTAGACACTCTTCTCCTACTAGAGGCTCAGTATCAAGTATCTGAAACGTTGCTAAATGCTCAAGAAGAAAATATCTTAGAGACCTCTGAAAGCCACAGGTAAAAACAAAAGCAAAACTGTTAAGACAATATTATTAACAATAGTTTTCTTTACAGATGCTCTGTTAAGACAGTAATTTTGTGTGTATAGTTTCATGTTTTTCCCCTATCTGAATTCAGCAGATTTGAATAACAGAATAAAAAGCAATTAAAATATAAATGTCACCATTAGAAAGATTGTGATAGATGTTCATGGGGAAGGCTTGAACAGTATTGCTTTCTGAGTTTTTTGTTTAATTTAGCTTTTTTTTTTGACCTGATTTTATTGATAGTTCCATGAAGTTGTATCACCTTTAAATTCAGGCTGCATGTGTAAGATGAGTCATTAAACAAAATGTTTGATTTCGTGTCCCTTGTAGTAACTCTTTACTCCATTCTCTTAATTATGTTAATTCATATTCATAAGCTCTGTTTATTGCAAAATCAGGTTATGGTAATATCTTGATGATTTTTTTCTACCACACTTGTCATTACTTCAATTTGGCTGACACTTATTGAATACATATTCAATATCTGGTATTGTTTTCATCTCAGTAACTAAAAACAAATTGTGCTTCCATTCTAGCTGGAATTTAGAAGAATATAGAAGACCAGGCACATTACTGGGTTCTCTAGATTTGATATAGAAGGGTGGTATTAACAGCTGCAGGAAGTGTGGAACCTGCTCAAAAGCAACATTTAGATTTTGAATTTAAGGTGCTGAGTCTAGAACCTAAGGGAACCTTTACTAAAAATGTGAAAAAGTCATTGTGGAAATAATGTAGGTCTTAATTCCATTTCTTTAAATGCAGTAACATTTGACAAGAAAATATTATTTCATAATATTTATCTGATTATATCAATTATATCTCCATCAGTTCTTTGCTTTCTGACAAAAAAGCTGTAAGATAAAGTGAATTTAGCCCTTTTTAAGTGATACATTGTTAATCATTTTCCAGACTTTTTGTAGAAAATTTTCTTTTTTCTTTACATTCCACTGTTGGTTCTGGAATTAAATCATATTCAATTAAGATAACAAAATTGATATCTTTATTTTTCAGGGATTTCATAATCGATGGCTTATCAGTAGAGAGAAATCATGTTCTTGTTAGAATAAATTTTATTGGTGGTCCCATGGAACGTATTTTGCCCCCAAGGGTATTGGAGAAGGTGAGTAGGGTAAAGAGGAATATTTGTCAATAGAAAAGCTGTAGGATACAAATAAACACTTTAAAATGAAAATAGCATTCTTTGTGACAGAGGGGTCATAAGTGCTAGTTTGTGTTGCAGAGTAGGCTATAGTTTCATTAAAAAGTTGTCATTTTTCTGTGTCTATGTTTACTTTCAATGTCTTTGTTTTTCATGATACCTAATTTTTATTAGATGAAGATTTTTTTTGTATTTAATTAGCAATATTGAGTACTTTCATCAATATTCATAGACATTGGCTTTTCCTTGAAGGGCTTTTTTTTTTTTTTAAGTACATTTTTGCTTTGTCAGTCTGGGAAAGATGAGATAGAAATGATTGACAATACAAGATAAACAGTTTGGTTTTTTGAATTTGTTTCCTATTTCAATATAGGAAATACAGGTTTCTTTTGAAGACTATAATTTCTCTTTCATGGAAAAAAAAATAGTAAGGCTACCATTATCAGTCCTAGTTGCTAGAACAAGTTACCATATATTTGTCTTCAGGGCTTGTGTAATGTCATTTCTATTACATTTCATTTTAGTTATTATCCTTTGGAGTATTGAATTGTAATTGTTAAATAGGTTTTGGTTAGTTAGGTTACAACTCTAGTATCTATGAAACAAAAGCCAGTTTAAATTAGTATTTCAGAAAGCCTTAAAATTCAATATTTTATATTACTTCCTGAAGTCATTTGTCTTCTTTATTAGGGTGATGATCCATATCCTTGGCCAATGTTTTCATCATATCCTTTACCTAACTGCTATCTTTCAGAAGTTACAAGAAATGCTGATCTAAAACAAGGTAAGATATTTACCATCAACTGCCATGTTATTTTAGTGCTTTTGTGGTTATAATTTGAAAAAAGATAAAGTAGTATTATGGGAGATTAATACTATTTTTTATTCAGCTTGTGTATATAGATACATTTATGCCTATTTCTTTGTAAATTTCTTACTAAATTATTTGTATGATATTGAATAATTCTTATCAGAACCTTTTTGTTTTAAAAAAGGAGTTATGATTTTTGATGAATTCTAGATACATAAGACGTTATTCAGCAGAGTAATATTTTTTAGTATCTGCATGCCATACATAAGTTCTGGGTCCTCAAGATTTGAAATATAAATATAATGTAAATTATGTAAATATAATAAAAGTTCAGACGAGTTCATGAACTTTTGGAGACTACATACAAGTAATTAGATAATTGTATGGTAGTGCAGTGTGATAGGAACTAGTCAAATGCGTAGCCTGCTAGCATAGCATATATGCAGGACACCCTTCCAAAGAAAATCAAAGTTTAAAGCAAGGCATGAAATATGTGTTTTTGGGTAATATAAGAGCATTTTTGACAAAGGAAAATAGCAGAGAGGCTTGAAAGGAGCAAATTATATTCAGAGAACTGTGAGTAGTTCAGGATGTCTGAGATTTGGTATTTGAGGGCAAGAGAGACCAGAAGTAAGACAACTGGTATGCCAAGGTCAGCCGTAAGACCAGTGTAGCTCAAGACTTTATTGTGAGAGCAATGAAAATTCAAACCGTTCTTAGATTAGAGAATTCTAAGATGAAATATGAAGATATATGATCAAACTACTCACTAATTTGAGAAGTTAAATCTTTTATCAGTGTGATCTTCTTTAATACTATTGAAGTTGTGCTGGAAAAAATAGGTATAAGATTCATTAAACATAGGTTAAGATTTTATGGAGTGATTGTTGAAAAAATGTTTCTGTGTGAGACTTCATGTATCTTTCACTTTTTCCTACATTTACTTGCTTTGAAACAATTATAAGAAGCCATCAATTGATATATATTGTTTTTATTTCTATCCAGTGTTTGAGATATACATTATATTTCTCACAGTTGCATAGAAACAAAAATTGTGCTTTGTTTTTTATTTCGATCTACTTAGGGGTTAGGGAAAGAGAAAGGGAGCTTTTTAAGTTTTTTTTTTTAAGATTTTTAAGATTTTATTTGTTTAAGTGAGAGCGCAAGAGAGAGAGCATGAGCAGGGGAAGGGGCAGAAGGAGAGGGAGAAGTAGACCCCCTGCTGAGCAGGGATTCCCCAATGTGGGGCTCAATCCCAGGACCCCAGGATCATGACCTGAACCAAAGGTAGACACTTAACCGACTGAGCCACCCAGGTGCCCCTAAAGTTAATATTTGTCTTTATAATGCACTAAAAATTATGCCTTTGTTTTCCTCTTGTGCAACCTAATCTATTGCTTTCAGAGATGTGTGAGTGATAGGAAGTATTTTTTAAGAAAAAACTCTTGAGAGAATACCATTTTGAACACTTTACCCCACTGACTCACATCTTTCAGTGAACCCAAGCCTTTCTCAGTCTGTTACTCTCATGCTTTCCTATTCCTGCTTTCATTCTTCTTAATGCCTTTATATTTTGTCATTATTGTTGTAGGTTTCATCATTTATTTGCCCCCTCATTCCTTTATTTAACGTTTTTCTCAAGTGCTAATTATCAGGTGCTTCACTAGGCATTGGAGATAAAATGATATATTAAGACATGATCCATTCTTGGTACCCCAACCCTTTTCTTGATCCTTTCCTTGTTATAATAAAGCATTGTTGTCTTTGCTGAGTTTCACTTGGAAATTAATATTAATTTTTTGAACAACAAATTCATTCATTATCAGTTTTATTATGTGACTGTCATATTTGATTATTTGGTTCTTCAAAATAGTTTGATTAAAAAAATGTCCCTTATTTTTTAAACAGAACAAGGCAGACAAGTAAGAAAAATAAGGTTAAATGGACACTTCCTGAAAAGAAAAGCTACAACATCAATTCCTAGGAATTGGTTTACAGAGGAATATAATTTTATTCCTGCTCTACTCTTGTGAGTGATTTAGAAAAGGGAGTAATAATAGCGTCTCTCTCTAGCCCAGAAGATAACTGCAGAATGGTTATTAACTGTAAGTGGGCCCATCATACTGCCGGGCAGTCATACATGGTGTCCCCAGGTCCGTATTCTCCTAGATGATCATTTTAAAATCTTCTCTCATCAAACCTTCACTCCATCCCTGTTCATCCTATCTGATGATGTAATTTTGTTTTCTAGGTTACTGAGGAAATAGAAACAGAAAAAAATCTTCCATGTGCTCCTGATAAACACCAACTCACTTAGCTGAATCTATTCTAATTTCGGATTTTTGTTACTATGAATAAACTGCCAATGTTACTGAGAAAGGCTGGCTGCTACATTCCATCTTCTTCTCAAAGATAATGCTTCTAACAGTTCTCCCTTTTTCCTTTATTGCTGTTTTTGGGGGGTGTTGTGGATGGGTCTCCATTGTGGCTCTTTGTGAACCGACAAACATGCTGTTAATTCTTCCATATTTAAAATATCTTCTTTTGAACCCACTTTTAAATTTCTGTCCTTTTTTCTTGCAAAATTCTTTGAAGGAGTTGTCTAATCTTGGTATTCCAGTAACTCCTTCCATTTTCTCCTGAACCCACAAAGCTAAAGAGGCTTTCACCCCTACCATTACACTGTGATTAGATCTACTGTGTAGATCAGTCCTCATCCTACTAGATTTAACATTGTTATTTAACATGCTCACTCCCTCCCTTTCTTTTGAAACACTTTCTTCACTTGGCTTCTAGAAAATGCCTGATGGGATTTTCATCCTGTGTTTCTGGCAAGTTCTTTTGTCTCCTTTGATCTTTCACTTCCCTCTAACCTCCAAGCTTTGGAGTGCCCCGGGGCTCAGTTCTTAAGTCGCCTGTTTTTCTAGCTGTACTTAGTCATGGGGAACATCTCATCTCATGACTAAAATCCTGTCCAGTATGCTGATGGCTGTCAGATTTATATCTCTAACCTCTGTCTCTCCCCTCAACTCTGCATTCATATCTAACTGCCTACTTGACACCTTTGCTAGGAGGGTTAATAAGCACACCACATCTAACAAGTCTGACATAAACTTCTCATACTTCCTCAAAATCTGTTCCTTTGGTTTTGTTACTCATTTCAGAAATGGCAACTTTTGCTTCCAGTTCTTTAGGCAATAAACCTGAAGGCATTCTTTGACTTCTCTTTGTCTTCATACCCACATCTAATCTGTCAGCAAATGCTCTTGACTCTGCTTATCTGAAATCCCTTTCTTGCATGACAGCCCTCCTGTCTCACCTGTATTATTGCAGTAATCTGCCAAGTAGTCAGTGTGTTCTCAACACAGCAACCAGAGTAATGCTGTTGAAATGTTCATTGCATTCCGTTACTCCTTAATTGAAACCCTCCAATGGCTTCCCATCGCTAACAAGGCCCAATACATTTGTGGCTTCATTCCTGTCAATGCTGTTTTACTTTAGTACCATTTCAAACCTCTTTAATTCCACATTTCCCCACCATATTGGACAACAACTTCTATTGTCTTTCTCTTTGTCCCTAAAACACAAGTGTTTGACTAAGACATTATTCTCAATTTAATAGCAGTACCTAATACTTCCTCCTAATAATAGTGGTTCTAGTTTTGTTAAGCAGGAGAGAATGATCTAGGCACCAGTGGATAATCCAGAATGTACATCACAGAGATATCTCTGTGAACTCAGTGAGAAAAATGGAGCCAGTGAATTTCTAACACCTATAAAGCTAAATTGAAAGTATGTTTCTGGTTAAATACAGTTCAATAAACTAAACATTGTACAATTTTAAATATACTGTCTTTGAGCTTATAATACTTTAAAACATAGCTATTTTGAAGGCAGGAGTTCTTATACTTTTCATTTTGCTTTTTTTACTTGAAAATAATGATTCATTGATTCTGATAGGTGTTATGTTAGTTGTCATTTGTGCTGCAAAATTTTGGGATATAATTTCATTGTTGTGGGGGGAAAAAAATCAACTTTGGTTGTGTGCACATGGTGACATCCTCTCATTTGTCTCCCAGCTTCTACATTTATCCTCCTTGCTACAGTTAGCATCTCCTCATCTGTTAAATTGCCTCTTGTTAGCTCATTGGCATTAGTGTTAGCTATTAAATAATTTATCTTCATCTGTAAATAAGAATCTTGAGACATCATCTGGTTCAGTTATTTTTCTTTGTGCACCATTTTAGGGTCACCATACTAAAATGTAAAAGCCCTTTAAAAGCTAGTGATTAATATTATCTATTTGTGTACATATATATGTACATTATGTGTATACATATATAAGCATGTACAGGTATATATGTACACATGTGCACGTGTGTATGTATCACAGGTGTGTGATATATAAATAATCTTACACACATGAAAAAATTCTCTTCCATGTGGTAGAAATAACTTGGAATATTACCTTTCTGTTACCCTAGAGTTTAGATAAATTGGAAGAAGATTGTGAGTGCAGTAACTTACTATTACCTGTGCAGCAGAGAAAAAGGAAAGGGGAGTGGGAGAAAGGAGAGTTGTGCTGTGGTTAAAAGCCAGTACGGGTTAGTGTGTTCAGGAGCTGTTAAAGTGAACTACTGGAGATTGACTCATAATGTCTTTTCTGTATGAAACAGATCATGGGATAAACAAAACAAAACAGATTGCTTTGTCTTCCTAAGCTAAACTTAGATCTCCCAGGAGTTATTGTTATACCCCTGATCGGCCAGTCTGCTCTACTCCATTCCATTTTGGTGTGTCCAGGATGGGACTTCCTTCCCTAAAGAGGAACAGAAATCCAGTACTTTCATACTGAGAAATAAAAATGGCGTGAGGGATTAAATAGCATGCTCTGGTTATTGGAAGCATTAGAGAGATATCTGAAGGTGAGAAATTTGCTGTTCCTTCCTTTCTAGCATCCTATATTCAATTTA